ACACTCGTTTTTAGACTAAACTGCGACGCAACAACTGTCGGATAATGCCTCTGTAGACTGAAGTCGCAGAGCTTGGTGTAATGACTGGTTGTCATAGCGTCGGCTATCATGACTAAACTTAGCCGAAAGTTAAATTCGGACGAAAGGAAGTTTTTTTGGTATTAAAAAGAGAGCTGCAGACGGAGTCTGCAGCTCTCGAAGAAGAACAAGAATAATGATTTTATCAAGAAGCTTAGTTAATATGAGTCTCATAACGTGACAATTCCTGGCAGGCACTAACAAGGTGTTGCACTTTTATGTGCTTGAGAAAAAAAACGGATGAGGAAAAGTTGTCTTACTGAATTAACTTGTTGTAAGCTGCGAGCCCCTGTCCCACGGATGCTTTTCGTGCGCAGTTGGATTACTGACATTATTTTTTCATGTGCCATATCAAAGATCATGCATTACTTGCGGCATTTATTCTGAAGCTATCGACGATCTTGTTTACTTTGTGCGATACATACGCGCATGTTACTCTAACGGGCGATAGGCATCTGAGACAACCGCTTGAGCGCTAGCAAAGCAGTCGCGAGATGGAGGTTGTCACGTTGTGAGACACATTTGCTAACTAAGTTTCTCCTGTACTATTAACAGAGGTATACTTATCCAACAGCAACACCCTCATTTTCGGGGCGTAATCTACCATCAGTTCTCAATGTGGCCAAGGTGGAGCAGTTGTCTAGCATTGAAGGACTGGTCACGACACGTGGTTAATCTCGCTTACGGATGGGCCGGGACAGGAGGCGAGAATGCAAGCCGAGCCACACCGGGCTCAGGGCCTCAGGCAGTTACATCTTATTGCATAACTATCCGAAGTCGTCTAATAGAATGCCTAAGCTGTCTGACAACATTCCATATAGCGTTCTATGAGATCACCTTTAATGTCTCGGAGAATGAAAGCTTCTCCGGCTTTGTAGGGTGTTCTGCAGCATCGTCACCATAGTTCAGGTGTGCCTTCAGCTTGTAGTCGTCAGGAACGCCGCAGAACTTTTTGATTGCAGCCTCAACGGGTGGCATAGCGTTAAGATGCTGCAAGTTTGCTCCAAGGCCTTCCAACTCGAGAGCAGTCCAGACCAGGATCTGGTGCATACCGTTGGCATGATCGGAAAACTCGGCAAGCATGTGTGCGGACGATGGATGAGTCTCCTCAGATTCCTTAATAGTCTGTCCGGACTCCCAGAATAGAATCTTTTGTCATTGGTGAGTACGATTGCCGATGTCCAAATAGGCAAATACTTACAGATCCATAAGCACCCTTGAATCCTTCAAACCTAGAACTCATCGAATTCCAAACATCGTCACCAATACCTTTCAACACAGGCTTAGATGCACTAATGACTCTATCCCAAAGTTGCTTGTGTTTCGGTCCGGTCACCAGGGTGATACGGACAGGCTGAGTGTTATAGGAAGATGGAGCGAAAGAAAGGACATGTTCGATGATCTCTTTAACGCGGTCGTCAGGCACATTGCTTGTCCCCTTGAGCGTATATACCGTACGGCGGTGACTGGCTGCGGCGAGCCACTGATCGGCGCTGAGATTCGCAATTAAGCCCATTTTGATTGGAGACAGCTTTCGGGTGCTAGAAATGATACGTAGCTGAGTTCGCACAGAAGAATTGATGATGCCTGATGATAGTAATAGCAAAGCACACAGGCGGGACATTCCTCAATTATTATATACCTGGTCTTCTTACGCGGATGGTTTATCCCCTTGCAGTGTGACTGGCCGACACTGTGGCTTGAGGAAACTTGGTCAGCATTGGTCATCGGAAGACACGGATAAGCTTTGAAAACCCCTGGATGTCGTCATTGGCGTATTATTAATTTGAAGTCTATCAAGGCTGTGTGGATCAAGGGGAAAGCGACGAGCAACACTGGTCGGTAAATCAAGCAGAGCAAAGTGACAGCCCATGTGAAATTAACTCGATGCGCAGGTGTTTGAGGCTGGGGCATCCCATACCATAGTAGTAACTTGTCTACTTCATAAATGGCAAGAGCAGTGGATAATCATGTAATTGCTTTTCATTTGTGACTATCCCGGAGGTTCTTTGGGTGCGAGAATAACTTGGTAGGTCGCATGAGAGCAACTCAACGCCAAAGTCTGACACACCCCCAGTGCCTAGACACGTCACACATGGCCTGGGCCATTGAGCGTTCTCGCAGCCTCGGCAGTTCAACCTTCTCCGTGAAGCTTCCGTCGTATAAAACTGACTCTGCTGATTGAAACATACAAGCGCATTTTGCCACCTGAGTGGAAAGTGGCAACGGCGTTGAGATTTTGCTCTAGAATAAAGACCCACAATAGCGGTGA